GAATTCAATAAACCAGAGAGAGTAGATTCAATAACCCAGAGAGAGAGTAGATTCAATAACCCAGAGAGAGTAGATTCAATAACCCAGAGAGAGTAGATTCAATAACCCCAGAGAGAGTAGATTCAATAACCCAGAGAGAGAAGAAGAGAGAGATAGATTCAATAACCCAGAGAGAGAGTAGATTCAATAACCCAGAGAGAGTAGATTCAATAACCCAGAGAGAGAGAGAGATTCAATAACCCAGAGAGAGTAGATTCAATAACCCAGAGAGAGTAGATTCAATAACCCAGAGAGAATAGATTCAATAACCCAGAGAGAATAGATTCAATAACCCAGAGAGAATAGATTCAATAACCCAGAGAGAGAGTAGATTCAATAACCCAGAGAGAGTAGATTCAATAACCCAGAGGAATAGATTCAATAACCCAGAGAGAGAGTAGATTCAATAACCCAGAGAGATAGATTCAATAACCCAGAGAGAGAGAAGATTCAATAACCCAGAGAGAGTAGATTCAATAACCCAGAGAGAGAGTAGATTCAATAACCCAGAGAGAGTAGATTCAATAACCCAGAGAGATAGATTCAATAACCCAGAGAGAGAGAAGATTCAATAACCCAGAGAGAGTAGATTCAATAACCCAGAGAGAATATATTCAATAACCCAGAGAGAATAGATTCAATAACCCAGAGAGAATAGATTCAATAACCCAGAGAGAGTAGATTCAATAACCCAGAGAGAATAGATTCAATAACCCAGAGAGAATAGATTCAATAACCCAGAGAGAGTAGATTCAATAACCCAGAGAGAATAGATTCAATAACCCAGAGAGAGAGAGATTCAATAACCCAGAGAGAGGATTCAATAACCCAGAGAGAGTAGATTCAATAACCCAGAGAGAAAGATTCAATAACCCAGAGAGAGAGTAGATTCAATAACCCAGAGAGAGTAGATTCAATAACCCAGAGAGAGTAGATTCAATAACCCAGAGAGAGAAGATTCAATAACCCAGAGAGAGTAGATTCAATAACCCAGAGAGAGAAGATTCAATAACCCAGAGAGAGAAGATTCAATAACCCAGAGAGAATGCAAAACGACTCTCAGAGTATACAGTAATATACAGTCGTAGTTTAATGCCTCCATGAAACTCCTTTGTTTACATCAAGAACATAGTGGCATCACACTTGCGCTCCTATTGGCTAGCGCTCCAACACATTGTACGTGATAGGTTAAGGGGCTAATGCCTTCCAGAAACTTTACACGTCCTTCTGGTTCCTGAGACTCTGAGGCTCAGAGTTGATTCTGTAAAACAAACAGCACGAGGAGACCAAACTGCAGCAGCTGCTCAGGTGATACACACCTCTCTGCCAACGAGTGCAGACTATACGGACAGTTCCTCTGGGTCCAAATACCTGCAGCCGGTCAGGTGATACACACCTCTCTGCCAACGAGTGCAGACCATACGGACAGTTCCTCTGGGTCCAAATACCTGCAGCCGGTCACGTGATACACATTCCTCTCCTAAGCCTGCTGCAGTGCACTTCCTGTCTGTAGGCTGTAATAAGGCCTGACTCCTCCTCAGAGCAAAGTCCTCCTGCTGAACACGAGGAGAAGGAGAGGAAGGAGAGGAGAGGGAGAGGAGAAGGAGAGGAAGAGGAGGAAGATGAAGATGGGAGCTCGGGATCAGGAGGAAGAAGCTGCTGCTCCGACAGAAACCAAGAAGAAGAAGCAGACGTCTAAAGAAGTTTGTTTCTCCGTCCTGCCCGACAGATACGAGCCTCTGATCGAGGAGGAAGAGGAGGAAACACAGGAGGAGAGGAGGAAGAGGAAGGAGGAGAAGAAGAGGAGGAAGACCAAGAGGTACAAGAAGATCAGGAAGGTAGGAAACAACCATGACCTTTGACCTCATTCAATCATCCATGACCTTTGACCTGATTCAATCATAATGTGGTGGTCAATAACAACATCAAGGAAAATAGTTTAAAATGTTTTACGGCTGTTTTTGTGGAAATACAAATAAATAAACAATCATTTTAAAAATAAAGGTAATTTAGAATTGAATTCAAAACAGAAAACCATTCAAACATTTCAGCTTCTGTTAAAGGAACATTTATTAAAAATATCATAAGTAAAGCAGATATTTAATTATAGATTCAATATAAATAAACATATATAATTATTAAAATATAAAAATGAACTAAACTTTACAAAAAACTATAGAAATATCAGTACAGTAAATACATACAAAATATAAGCTGAGCCCTGACAGGAACACAATTAGTATAAATCATTAAACCCTTCATTTAAAAAAAATATATATATATCATGTACATATTTAATATAATAAAAAATGCTAAAAAATAATAACTGTTTAAATCTGATAAAAGAACATTAAATAAAAACACCAAAAGTAAAGTTCTGCATTTGTTTACATAATTTAAAATAGGTGATTAACGTCCTGGTTGATTTTAACTCCAGCTGGTAAACAGGGGGTGTTCCTCAATGTCGAGGACGCTTCCTTGGTAGGACATGTCTTCTGAGTCAGGTCCTTCAGAAATGAGGCAAGAATCCTTCCTAGCCTCGGAAAACGAAGAATGGGACAGGCTAACAGGCTAACAGGTGTGAGTCAGATGAGAGGCCCCGCCTTAAATGGAGCGCGATTTCCGCCAAAGATTTGTGAATCGGTCCGTGCGCAAAGCAGGGTACACATGTGCAGCCTCGAAATTTCTCGCAACGAAGGACTCAGTCCTCGGTAGAATGGGTAGAATTCCAAGTATGCTGGACATTGGAACAGTCCTTCAGCGGGACTCGATGACGTAGCATGCTTGAAATAGTGGCTCTGGAGGATCCTTCCTCGACATTGAGAAACACCCAGTAACTCAGAACTTTTGTTGGACCTTCGACCCTCAGGACGACGCGTCAGTCTGACAGATAACACCAGACCTCTGACATACCACTGTGTACAAATACTCTGTCACAAGTAAAAGTACACTAAGTTCGAAAATATTTGATAAAACACAAATAAATAAAAATACATAAAAAGATTCTTTAGGATTCATCCTCTGGGGAACATGAATTTAAACAAAAATAAATCCAGCTGAAAAATGTATTTAAATATACATATATAGCGGAAGTCATTATGAATTAAATTATAAATCAAATATAGAATAAAATAAAGTTATATCCCAGTGTGTAAAAAATTATATCTAATGATATTAATAAAACAACAAATAAATACATAATAGTTTGTATAAAATATTATTAAAGTATATATCTGTATTAAAATATATATATAACACATCTTATAAATAAATAAAATAACTATACAATAAAATAAATACATATCACATTGTGTAAACATTTAAATAAATCATATATTAAAATAAATAAATAAATAAATTGATGTATAAAATAATAGTAAATGATTATTATTTAAATTAAATATGTCTGATTTCTGTCTGAATATATATTATCGTTATTGAATAGTGCTGAATCTTGATTATTTTAAAGTAATCTTAATCTTCCCATCAGAACGTGGGGAAGGCGCTGCGTCTGAGCTGGCGCTGTTTGATGCTCGGTCTGCAGAACATGGCGGCCGTTTACTCCACTCCGTCCTCCGCTCTGTCCACTATGGTGAGCGAGGTCCAGAGGAGCAAAGCATGATGGGACATGGAGTCCCCTGAGCACGGACCTGTAGGTCCTTCTGTGGCCTGTGTGTGGAGATTCTTCCTAATGTGGACGACCTGGACGTCTTTGATACACTGAGCCTGGCACATGTTAGCATATGTTAGCATACAGCGGTACTGTATTTGTATGTACATGTTCTCGAGGAAAACATATTTTATGACTTGTCACAAACAGGGGCGCCGCCAGGTATTTTGGACCCCATGAAAAGATATCACATTGGGCCCCACCAGCAGGCCCAGGCCATGCCAACCAAGCACAATGCTGTAACCACACCTCCAGAACCCAACCCATCCATTTATGCTTTAAATAACTCTACCTGTACAGGCTTGCCTCTATCTTGTAGTCCAATAACTGCACAATATTTACTGACACTGAGCGGTGAACATATAACACTGTGCAGACGTGCAACATTCTGCTGCAGTGGAATTCACTATTTGATATAACACTAACACTCCTGACAATAGATCTCAATAGTGATCTTTTATGGTGTAAACGCCTTTTTAATAATAACGTTTTTGAATGGAACATTCTCAACATGAATGCATAAATCCAAATAAATATAACTTAAATATGTGGGAAAATACTGTGTTTGAAATGTGTAATTGAAATTAGATGTTAGCTTTTTGTTTTGATATATATATATATATATATATTTTGTATTCCAGTCTCCCTTCAGATATGTAGGGTCGCATGGCATTCAACACAATGCTGCTCACCTCCTTCAGTTGGGAGAAAAGCTGGTTCAGGTTCAGCCTTATAGGGGGACAGGGCTGCTGAGCCTGAAGATGGATCTGTTGGTCCTGGCACCAGGGGGAGGGACAACTGATTTAGTAAGAATAGCTGCTAAAAATGTGCCTGCATTTAATGTCAGCTAAAAGAGCAGTGAAATGAAAAACCTCTGAATTTGCTGTGAAGATATTAACAGTAGGCTACGTACTTAATGTCAGCTTAGCCAATTATTATTTACAATGGACTACGCTTAGCTAACAGACCAGGGTCGGCTCTAGAACAAATCGAATCGGGGAAATCATTTACCAAGGGGGGGCACACACTGCCTTCAACAACCAACACACAAACACCAACGCAACTTCAAAACACATGCTGTAAAGCCTGTTGTCTTCCACACACACTGCAGGGGTGTAGTGCTTTTTTATGGCGCACCTATGACTTGTGCATGCACGGTCGTGGCACGACCCCCAAAACAGAAACATATGGACATAGGCCACCATACAAAAAGTGTGCAAATGTATTTAGTATCTTATCCATGTGAACATGTTTTAGTGGGGTGGACCTAACCTCCTCTTGGAGGGTCCGGGGGGATGCTCCCCCGGGAAGATTATTTTTTAAATATTTAAGTTAAAAGCATCAATCTGGTGCACTTTGAGAGCAACATGAAGAGATCTATGGATAGCCTACATCTCTCAGCATCCATATGAAACAGAACTGTAAACAGATTTACTTTTTCTTTATGGATATTTTACAAATCACTCCCCTTTCAAACTGTATTCTTGTGTTATTGTCCTATAGTATTTCATAACCGTTTTTCATTTATTCTCTTATTCTTTAATAACTATATTGATCATATAAAGGTATTCCTCTGTAGTATAAGTACTTGTTTACATAAATGGTGACCAAACCGTTTGAGACCCACTGAGATAACTTAGACTAAAGTGAACTATCTAAACACTGAGAGAGTCCTTACCTCACTGAGCTGAGGTTATAAGAGCCTCTCAGTCTGACAGGAGAGGACTCTCCTCCACCTTGGTGTAGAAACAGCTCTTTATTCCGTTCGCACAGCTAGCTAACCAGATGCTAACAACAACATTCCACGTTACCGCTCGCGCACTCACAAAATGCGCTCGTGCCACACACACACAGAGCCGAGCTTGAATGAAACACAGAGACCCAGAAGTAGGCTACTTGTACTGTATATCATATTATTTTCGATGGCTTTACTGTATGATCAGTGTAACAGATGAACAGCCACTGGGCTTTCATCTAAACACACAGGCTCAGCCACGTAATGATAACAAAACAAAGGTCGGGGGTCATTGGTCAAGCAACACACCAATCAGAGAGCATCAGTGAGCACACCTCAGGCTGTGTTTCATATTAGTATTCTTTATTTCTGATGTATTTCACACCAAAAACTTTTAGTGGAAACGTTTTAACTTATATGATTTAAAAAAAAAAAAACGGCAAAGTGGCAAGGCTTGCCCACCCTGCGTTGGGGGGGCACAGTGACTGATTTGGGGGGGCATGGCCCGCGAATGACCCCCCCATGACGCCGACCCTGGGCCTATACATGAAACACACACAAAGAAATCTACAGACTTACTCCAAACTGCCAAATATATTAATTAACACACTCTCACTCTCATATACTGTTTGACTCTATTTGGCAAAGTAGAACAATAAGCAGCAGACTTTGACTTTTTTATAATTTCTACTGGATCTTAGATCTGCGCATGCGCAATACGGGTCGGCAGTGGCGGCTCCGGAGTATTTTTTTTGGGTAATCTGTGGTAGTGCTAACCCATACAGTGGTGGGGCTCAAGTCTGTATTTGCAATGTAATTACATAC